AGTTACACAGCATCGATTACCAATCGAATGATATTCTTTTTATATTGCACAATATAAATATTCTCGATCGAGGATCGACAAGAGTAGCGAACAATGGAAGATTGAAATTATCATCATCATCATCATCGTCGTCGTCGTCGTCGTGGACGTGAATCTTGATGGGAAAACTGACGTCAATCGGTGTCATTGATATTTTTCTTCTTTCCTTCATCATCATCGTCGTCGTCGTCGTCGTAGACGTGAATCTTGATGGGAAAACTGACGTCAATCGGTGTCATTGATATTTTTCTTCTTTCCTTCGTTCGTTCGTTCGCGTTTCGAGACGTTGCGTCTGAACGAGGCTAAACGCGGGAACTGAGTGAATGACCATCGTTGCAAGAAAGGTAATCACTCGTGTCGTCTAGCAACCCATTACCTTAATATCTCTCCCTCGAATCGACTGATTTTCGAAGGATTATCCTCTCGCGAAGCGTGGGAGAGAGACTCCCGAGCATGTTCAGAGACGCTCGATTGTTTCTCTGCCAGCGCGAATCAATGTCTCTACTCTACAGAGTGCGTGTATACACGTATATACACCTTGAATGCGACCGCATAAGCGTCGCGTTGCAAAATCTCGAATGCACCTGGAGTGCAGAACGCGGTACGGGGAATAGTTTCGCGGAAGATAAAGAACTTGGAATGAAACGGGGCGAATAAAGCTTCTCGAAAGAAACGAAACAAGAGAGAGAGAAAAAAGAGGATGCAACAAACCCCTCTAAAACGTCGTCGTTCCTTCGTTCAAGTACGGATGCGCGCTCTCAGATTTAAACTCCGTTTCGATGGAACCGAGAGGCGGGCCGTGTGTACATACGTCGGCATTGCGACATCGCTAATGCATCGCGAGTACAGAATGCGGCCGTGGATGCACTGCAAAATTACGAGAATAGCGAACAACTGGCTGGAATTCCCTTCTGCTTATGGAAGTGTTCGAAACTTCGAGCTGCACGGTGTATTGGTATATATATATATATAGTAGAGCCGAGGAGAATATCGAGAAAAATTGTGTTTAAAAGACGCGATTCACGCCGGTACGTTGAACCGAGTCAAACGTGAGATAAATGAGTCAAAGGAGCGGAGTACTCGACCGTCTAATTGGACTCAGACAACAATCGCGCGGCAGCTTAATGAACGTAACCTTTGGCGGGAAAAAAAAGAGAGGAAAAAATGAATGAACGATAGAGAAATAATCGTCCGACACTTTCTAGAACGTCTTTCTTTCGTACGATGAAGCGTACGCTTTGATAGTACGTACAGTTGGTGGAAGAAACATAGGGAGATCGTAAAATCAGTCAAAGTTTACTCGAATCTCGTTCACGGTCGTCAAGAATTGATTCTTCCATTAGAGTACATTTAAAAGACTTGTCATTTGCAAGTTAATTTTTCTCTCGATTACTATTGAACAGGAGACAACTCTAACGAACGAGGCCACATCGATCGGTGTCACCGTTTAACGCTTCAATTTACAATCTCGCTGTATCGTTTCCATCGACTGTACATCAATCCTTCATTCACGATCCTTCTTAATTAATTCCGTATAGCTCTAATGAACGAGTCTACATGAATCACTGTCATCGTTTAATGCTTCGATTTACAATCTCACCGTATCCTTTCCGTCGACTATACATTCCATCTACGCCTAAAAATCTGCTCTATTTCATTATACGATTCTCCTCAAATCTCCTCGATAGAGCAAATGTTGAATATCGTCGAATTGATATTACAATCACAGAATACGATCAGAGGAGAATCTGAGATTCCAGCCAAGTCCTCCAACAACGAGACCGCTTTTTAATTATGAATCGAAGATGAGATCTCGACGCATGTACGTATGTATACTCAACGAATCGAAGCGTGTTCTCTCTGTCGAGATAGGGAGAGAAGGACCATATGCCCGACACAGGAAAGCACGCACGTCTGCTGGTTGCGAAATCGCTAATGCACCGCGCGAGACCGTAGAAGCCAGCATGCGTGGCGGAGTATACACGCGGACAGAATCTTGTGTATCGAAGCGCGCGTGAGTATGGATCGAAGGACGTTCTCCTCGTCATCCAGAGACAATGCAACCACGGGAGAGATGCACCGCGATGTCTCGCGCGACACGCTTAAAGAGCGGCGGCGGCGTGTAAACGCTTCGAACGCACGTCGCGCGCACTCCACGACACCTTCAAGGCTTCTTCATCTCTTCTCCTACTCTCGTACTTCTTATCTGTCGCCTTTTTCTATTCCCATCTTTCACGCTGCACTCGAGTTTCGCAACCAGGCCTCTTCATTAACCGCTTCGAGCACCCTTTGCACAGCGGAGAGTGCCGGGCCTCCTTTTTCACAGTTTTCACCACGTGCCGCGTTTCCTTCATTTTCTCAAAGATCTTCGTGAGAGAAATTCAGATCAGAGAGCTGCAAAACTACGATGCAGTTTCCCGATCGTTATCGATATCCGCGAGAAAATCATCGCTTCCATCGACTACACATCGGTCGTTCTAAAGTAACAACGTGTAATCTTACTCTGAACTTTGCCTTACGGTACTTGAACGAGCCGAAAATTTCTGTCGCGTGATTACACGTTAATTGAAGCAATTTGAACGTATGCGCCAAAGGAAAGTTTCGTTTGTAGTTCACTTCCTCGTAACTTTCCTCGCGTGTACTTATCTACATACAGGTTTTCTTCGCTCCATTGTCTCCGCTACTAACACATGCAACAGTGACGAGCATCGAGCAGCGAGAGAAACGCATTAGCGACAGATTTCCGTGTGGAAAAGTCGCGCGGCGCATTATGCCTGCCACGCGGACCGTGAAAGTGTGCGTGCATGCGCGGGCACAGAACGCGCGATATTTCATATTATCAACGTGGGGCGTGTGCCGAGAGCAGAGACGACAGAATCGATATTTACCGTAACATAGAAGGTTCGAAACGGAACCAAAGGGGGGAAGAAAGGGCGAGCAAAAAGGAGCGAGGAAGAACAATGAAACGCCTCTCGCGGCCGAGTACCGTTCCTGATCCGTCCCCGAATCCGTGAAAAAACGTATCACGCGACGCGTGATTTACGGTGGACCTGGATGACTGGTAACGGTACGAGAATCGAATCGAATCGAGGCTGAACCCTTTTCTGCTTTCCTTCGAAATTCCGCTATTTTTCACGTCTTTCGTTCCGTCGTGCCTTTCTTATTGTATCAATGCGACTGCATTGTTAAAACACTCACGTGGTAACCGTGAAAATAGTCAGCATACATCGTGACACATTCTTTATTGATATGTCATTCACAAGGAATAAAGTTTTCTTTCATAATTTCGTTCGACATTAACCCCTTCACGTATGATTTCTCTTCCTACGTTAAGTAAGGAAAGCTAGCGTATCGTAGATTAATTAAATTTGGTAATCTTCAGTTTCATGAATTAAATCGAAACTTGGAATTAAAATTAATTTTTCTTACCGATATAACTGTTTCTATCAGACCTTGTCCAAAATCTCTGCCACGAGTCTGACTCGTTATCATAGGGGTTAATTTTTGGGTGTCCAATAAAATTCTAAATTTTGGTCAAAAAAATTTATAAAGATGCATAACCCTTTCTAACTTTCTTCCTAAGTCTCTCTCGATCTAACCTGTTCGGCACTTGACGTTCTACTCGAGTGTACAGATAAACTGTGGAAGGGTTAATTCAGCAAACCTTAAAGATCTATTCAACAGCAATTCGTTCGGTCAAACCTCTCTAACTAGCAAAGCGCATAAAGAAGAAGAGCCACTGCCGGAAGGACGCACACCTCGAGATAGTCGATCCTGCCACCGTAAATCCTCGCAATACCTAATATCGCGTGAGTAGTATCCTCCCAGTTACCATAACCAGATTAGAAACCCAGAAAACTGCGAATCTTCTTAAATCAACCCTCTTCTGATATCTCTGTTCCACCGTGCGTTTAAAACCGAAGAAAGTGAAGTCTCGCGATGCCGGAAGAGCCTCTAACTCCCTCTCCCTCGATCATGGATCTTATATGTAAATGCGTGTTATATCTAGTATCGTTCGCCTATTACATTCTCTCCGTACAGTCTCTACCTCGCTCAGGTCCATTGTGTACGGCGCTTACAGCAAAAGATTAGAGCCGTGCATTCCATCGAAGGCGGCTAGAAAACGAAGGCTGGCCCCAACCGAGAAACAATTAATCGTGCAAGATGGAAAACGCAACTAGCGCGCACGTAGGAATGCGTGCGATGAGCGTAACATCGACAATCAGCCCCGTGATTGCGCTACACGGGAATCAAATTAGCATCGAAGCAGCATCGCCATTAGAGTCGGAACATTCGAGAGCTATAGTAAACGATAGGCGTATTTGCTGCTGTGGTCGTCTCTCGAGGGACCCGCCCTACTCTCTAAAGGATTTATTTCATTTTCATTTTTTTTTTTTTTTCAGAGAAAGAAGAAGAAGCTTATCCTGGAGCTTTCCATGAAGCATCCAGGGGATCCTCGAGTGAGGGAACACGTGCAGTTGCGGTGTGCGTGGCGCGAGTTACGCGCATAAACCAGCCGCGTGTCCGCCCGCGTGTTTACCGCGCCCCACCGCTCCTCTCGGCGAGATAAACGTCCGGCTGGCACGCAAATGCGGAAAGCACTGCCAGTGAATCGCGGCATTGTTCGCGGTGATAGGAAATAGGTGAACAGAAACTGATTTAATGGACCCTAATCGCGGAGGAACAGTGGAGAACGTGTCTCTGATCAACGCAATCCTTCCAGTAAATTATACTGAATTTTTCTTTTCTTTGTTAGGAGATCATTTAGCGATTTTTCGTAACTACAGTTTCTCTATCTTCGGATTTTTGTAACTACTATCGAGACGGCGATATCAGCGAGCAACTTCGCTCTGCATCGAAACAGTTCAATCATGGAGTCTTGAAAACTGAAAATTCCCAGTCTACCCTTCCACACTTGAAACGATAATGAACGCAAAATTACCAAGTGCCTCGATATCACGATGCAGGGTGACTTCGGCCATCCTGTTCCACGGAAATCTCAAAAGAAGGAAAATCACAGCGCGGCAACTAGCACGTCCAACGGAATGATTAACCTAAACGGAGACTTCGACGAGGAGTGGTTGACCTATGTCAAGCTCACGGAATTTGTCCTTCAACGTCCTAAATCTCATCTGCTCGCTCGATATCTACCGACACTATGGCGCAATCATCTGGCCAGATCGGCGGATACTTATCGACGTCCGGCAAAATTATCGAAGAACAAAAGTGCAGACCTGAAGAACGTTTCACCAGAGAAATGTACCAAAATCATTTTCGACAAACGAGCCGACGGAGACAAAGCTAGGAACGTCGCGCCAGTGCCTATGAGGAAGAGTCTATTTCCACACGTGCCACCTTATGTACTTTTCCAGAGCCACGATCGCGCACCCACCAAAAGATTGCCCAAAGATTTCGCCCAGCTTCTCAAATGGAAGTTCACCACGTCTATGCCTAGACTTCTCGTAAAAATCTTGATCAATTCAGGATATCAGGTGATGGACAAGGGAACCGAATGGTCAGGTGTGTGGAATTTATCCACTAAAGACACGTCGAGGTACAAACGCCTCAAGTGCTATCAAAAGGTATACCAATTTTCTTATCAATTCTCCGTGAAACTTTCTTCCGAATAATCGTCGTTGCACTCCAGATAAACAGCATGCCTGGAGCTAATAATATAGGGAACAAGGATCATTTATGGATGCATTTGAATAGAATGGCGAGAAAATTCGGCTCGAAGGAGTACGGTTTCATGCCTAGAACCTACGTTCTACCGGACGAGATAAAGAAGTTCGAGAGCATGTGGTACAAGCACGGTGTAGGCACCACCTGGATAATTAAACCACCGTCTGCAGGCCGTGGCCAGGGTATCAAGATTGTGAATCAATGGTGGGAGATACCGAAATGGCACTCGATGATCATTCAACGTTACATCACTCGACCGAGGCTTATCAACGGTTTGAAGTTCGATCTAAGAGTGTACGTGCTACTGACGAGTATCAATCCACTGAGGATTTACATCTACAAAGAGGGTTTAGTTCGTTTCGCCTCTGTCAGGTAATTTCCAATCTCTTCTACCTTCCCGCGAATTATCTCCGATAAGAATCGCTTCGAGTCCGTTCTATCGATTATACAAGCACTACTTGTGTCCAGGTATGTCCGCGGCGCGAACCTAAGCGACAAGTATATGCACCTGACGAACAGCAGTGTGAACAAGCAGAATCCAGCTTACGTAACGAACGACGGAGTGAATTCGTACAAAGGACACAAATGGTCCTTCTCGAGTTTATGGTCGTATCTGAGGCAAGAGGAGGCGAACGTCGCTGAACTGTGGGCGAGGATTAAGGACATCGTGATTAAAACGTTCGTGGCCGCGGAACTGAACATGAACGCGACCATTTCCGAGTGTCTCCTCTCGAGTTACACCTGTTACGAATTGTACGGGTTCGACATACTCCTCGACGAGTCTTTGAGACCTTGGTTGCTGGAAGTTAACGTACTCCCCTCGCTTCAGGCAGACTCGCCACTCGATACGGCTATTAAGGTATACATCTAGGATTTAAATGGACGTTCGATCGCTAACCACCAATTAACTTTTTCTATCGTTGGTCACTTCTCGGTCTTGACACGCTCCACGATTAGTCACAATCGAGATTATCTGTGTACAGTCGATGGAAGAGATGTAGATGGAGATCGTGACGTCCGAGTTTACGCGAATCGACAGAATTCTGAGATAACAGTGCGAAATCTTGGTCAAGGTTGCGTAAAGTGTGCCTTAATTAACCCTTTCGCTGCGGAAGATTTGAGCGTAACCACGGCTGCGAAATTTGTTACCTCGACCGTGTCGTTTTAAAATTCGGTTTATTAAACTGAGGTGGAAGTGCCTAAGTACAGTGCGAGCAAATTTCCAAAACATAGTAACGAAAGGGTTAACGACTGAATTGTGAAATTTTTATTCGAGTACTCAGCACTGGCCACTGAAGCGTTAACGTTCGTTCACAGACTCGATTGAAAAATTTCTGTGTCAACGCTAAAATTCACGAACCGCCGTATTTCTTCCACCGACTATACATTCGTGTCCACACAGTTTAATTTCCAACTTTCGAATTCCACAGCAATGATACACGAATGATAAATCACGTTCAGTCACCGAGTGAATCATAAGATCGAGCTTCCGTTTCCTTCGCAGGGTCCTCTTATCAAGAACGTTCTAAACATGTCCGGCTATCAAATCCCGAAAATGGAGAAAATTTCAGGGACCGTTGCGTACAGCAAGAAGTACGATTCCATCGGACACGATTACAGATTATACAACACTGCTCTAAGCTTAGAAGAAAAGACGAAACAGAACAACATCAACGCGATCCAGAGTCGCGAAGGGTATCTCGATCGAATCCTGGAGAACTTAACCAGAGACGATCTCAGACAATTAATTCGCTACGAGGACGAACTGAGTCAAATTGGAAACTTCGAGAAGCTCTTCCCAACGAAGCATACCTTTCTCTACACGAAATTCTTCCAGGTAGAAAGGTACTACGATCGACTGTTGGACGCTTGGGAGAATCGTTACTCCGAGCACAGATTCGAAGGTATTCGAAGATTGCAGAGACACTGCGAAACGATGCAACATCTCGATCAAAGCACAGACTGAAACGTGGAAACTCGTATTCGAAGGCTTCGTTCAAACAAAAGCTCGCGCAAGGTCAATAGCGTGACGTATTTTTACGTAATATCCGCGAAAGAAGAAACGAAGTCTGATGGACGAAAGAGAAGGAGACAATAGGATGAGCAAATCCGGATTGCGTAATGGTCGAAGAAAGCATCTCTCTCTGAATATCGCCAGGTGAGAAACGCGTCGAAGGTTTCTCCCTTATCGAGCAATTTCACGTGGAACGATAACACCGTAACTTTCTTAACGAGCAATTAAGATAGCAACCGCGAAGGAGACGCGTCAAGTATTACAAAGTTAACAAGACATTCAGCGATGTCAATGGAATTCGAGAAATCCAACGAAACCCTACGCCTGTTAATCCACCTCAGTTGCGCAACACCATAACCGCAAGCTACTATAAGTCGTTTTAACTATATCGGTCACAGGTTGACGTCATTCATTTGCCGTTTACTATAGTCCCCCCGTGCCCAGTGGGAAAAAGGAGTATCCGTTTCCACGACGGACTTCCTTTATCGAATTACTCACCGGTAACCCAATTTTCCCTCTCGAAATCGTACTTCGAACGAAACTTCGCGCGGTTCTTCGACCGTCGACACAGTTTGAAGAACAAGCGGAAACGTCTTGTTCAACGATGAATCGATCTCTGTTTAAACAACCGTTGGATATTTATAGAAATTAATCATCGTTCGTTTGTTATACTCTTCTCTGTGCGAGATTTGTTTAGGAAGAGAGAGAAATGACGACGAAGTTTATTTGTCACTGGAGCTATTTTAAAGACAATTTCTCCAGAGAAATGACACGAAATTGCATCATTGCGGGTAACACTTTGCGGTCAGGTTTAACGTCCGCCGCGGGTAAATAGAGAGGAGAGACTGTAAATGAGTCATTTTCACGGCGAAATGCGAGAATGAAGAATTAGTTAAAATTGAATAATATCCTTGGGGTTGCGTAAGTACTCGTATTTAGAGATGTAGGTGAGAATTTATTATTCGTGTGATAAAAGCGTGCCACGTTTCACTCGAAGCGTTTCAATTTCCCTCGTGTCCACAACGATGGACAGTTTCACAATAACCTTCGAACGAACGGCTCACCGATGTGTGAATGACTAAAGCAAACTATTTGTGTTACTCGTTATCCTGTGGAAAATACACACACAGAGAACGCTCCACTTGTTCACAATACGATAAACCATATGTGTACTCCGCCGATACTTTGTTATCGACAGAGCGAAAAAAAAAAAAAAGAAAAACAAATGTTATTCTTCCATTTATAATTGTACACGTATGAATGGCAGAAGAACGCTATTTGTACCGTGAAAAATATATTGTATCAACGATCGACGAAGCTTTCGTACATCGACATTCTTTTGCATATAAAAAAAAACCTACATATTTCTCGATAAAGTTCATCGACTTCTAATTACGCCGAGAAGTATAGGCGATAATTTCGATCGGTCACGGCTCGTCACCTCGTTCAAATTGGTGACGTAAGCGCGGTGAAAGCTCCGCAAAGGCAGCAGAAAACGTGAATCACTTCCTGAAAATTCTGCGGACGCGACTGCCAGGAGGCGGTTTTCAGTTCATTCACTATGGTCTTCCCTCGAATCCGCCAGCTCGTCACATGCAACCTACTTTTCTCCGCTGCGGCACACGTGAGGAACGCGGGCGCTTTTAAACTCGCCACCGTTTTATCTCTTTCACACACACACATACGTGAGTACTTATCTACGTTACCAGCCACTGATTCGAATGACTTTTTTGCTCGAGCAAGAGACGGAAAGCTGCGCGAACTTTCCTTCGTTAATCTTACAGAGCAATTATTGTCTAAAAGTCCAGCATGGACACGCTAGGCAACACTTGGAGGCGTTAAAGAATAGAACGGCGATCGTTATCGTATCGGAAAGGAAAGAAGTTCCGGCAGGATTGAAGATATTTCGAGAATCGAGGGATGAATCTTCCGAAAGTGGCTGTTAAACCATAAAACAACACGGTTTTATTGATACTCTTAAAGGTGCTGCGGTGCAAATAGCTGCAGGATTCATTTTAGAGCCTTCTCGAGGAATTTTCCGGGGGTTTCTACTGATCCTGCGGAACGTTCTTATCGAAAATTTTGTTTGCTTTCGGTAGTATCTACCTGTCGGCGATAAGGGAGGCAGAGGTATGAAATTTTCTCGAACGGAGGATAACAGAGAGATAGAACGGAGAAGGGGATAAAAAGAAAGGATTCCTCATCGGTTTGACGGTCTTAAATTATTTCCCCAAGCAGATACATGTGTTCTCGGTCGCGGTCAAGCGTGATAAAATAGTGGACTGTTTACCGTGGCTGCGTTCCGACTGTCGCATTATTAGCGAGTGTACGGCTGCGTGACTCTGGCAATCAGAGCAGAATGAGATCTAAAATTCGCAATCTCACGAATGAATCCACTCGAGTCCGCTTAATTACGACACCGTGATCATTAGCCGCGGACGTTAGGAACAATCTGTATCGCGCACGGCCACTTTCGGAATTCTCACTTGCAAATCGATGCTAGTGTTACAATTCTCTTCGAATCATACCTACTCTCGGCGTATCAGACGAGTCATTTTTTTTTTTTCCAATTTTTTACCAGATACCTACTTCTTAAATGAAATCATTTAGCTAGAATATGTCGGCCTATTTGGAACACCTATTCTCGTTCACCTAAATCCACGTAAACGTCGGTAATACCTTCCCTGGAAAAATCGACGAAGATCGGCAATTAGTGGCGCTTTACTTAAACGAGACACTAGGTTAATTGGAACACCTATTCTCGTTCACCTAAATGCAAATAAAATCGGTAATACGTTCTCTGAAAAATATCGGTGATTGGCGGCGTTTAAATTAATCAAGACGCTAGCTTATTTAGGACGCTCATTTTCACTCACCTAAATCCACATGGTTCTACTAATATTTTCTCGGAAAAAAATAGGTGAAAATCGACAATCCCCAGCGCTATATTTAATCGAGACACTAGCTTATTTAGGACACCTATCTTCGTTCACCTAAATCCACGTAACATCGCTAATACGTTCTCTGGAAAAATTGGCAAATCGGCAAAGATCGGTGATCGGCGGCGCTCTATTTAAACGAGACACTAGCTTATTCGCAACGCTCATTTTTATTCGCCTAAATCCACGTAACATCGCTAATACATTCTCTGGAAAAGTTGGCAAATCGGCAAAGATCGGCAATTTGCAGCGCTTTATTTAATCGAGACACTACCTTATTTAGAACACCTATCTTCGTTCACCTAAATCCACGTAAAACCGCTAATACCTGCAGCCTCTACCTTCGGCAAAAATTTGCAGGACATCCATGAAAACGGGTCAGTCCGATAGGCATGACGGAAATCCCATTCAGTCTGTTTTCAACAACAGAGAATTTCTGCCACCGCGAAACGATACTCCACGTGCGGTGTTCTTTGTCTCTGATGTTGACGTTGACTCATACATTGTGCAAAGAGAGAGAGAGTGGAAAAAGAATAAGTTGGCGCGGCACGAGCACGGAAATCAGCGTATAGATGATAATTGATAGGTACGCGACGAGCGAGGATGAAATCGAGCGCGGCTAAATAGAATCGATCCATCGTTCGGATAAATGGTTAATCGTACGAGATGAATAGCGATCGGAACCTAATTCGAGTCGGTGTTACTTTCGCCTCGTTCATTCAGAGGATTCATCCTTCTTCACGTGACGCGGTAATTACACTCGCGCGATGCTGTATAATTTTTTTCTGCCATTCGTGCCATTCAAATTATACGGTAACCGGATTTTTCTCTTTTTTTTTTGTTCACTTGGAAAATCGCTGAAAGTTCGCGGAAGGAAAACATAACAGACTTCCTTCTGCTTTTTCCCTTTTTCTTTTCTTTTTCTTTTTTTTCGCACTTTTACTTTACGCGTTTGCACGTATCGCGGAAGTGACTCCGTAAAAGTGAACCGAATTTCTCGAGAACGGTCGTTTCTCTGGAGAAAAATTCGGGCGATCGATGAGAATAAATAGAAGATACGAGGGAAAGATTAGAACGTAGAGGGTTTAATTAACGATGGTATCTTTGAAATTTCAATATCGGCGTTTCGTGCAACGCGAAATAATTGAAAATAACGTTCTTTGTCCGTCTAACGCGATATCTGTTAATAATCTGGCCTAATGGTAGCTCAGCCTTGCCTCGCCCTTGCACCACACCCTCTACATTGTTCACAGTGTAATAAAGACGCTTCTAATTTAATTAACACCTTACCGACCATTACGATTAGATCTACTACTTTTCACTTACTGCGTCACTTGCTACGTAGATAGCAATATTGCATTCCGTGAAACGGCAGTGTTTACAGAAACCTTCTTGAAACCTCCGTTCAAGTGCAATTCCTCTACACACCGGGTGTCTCAATTTTTTTTCAAAAACTTTTCACCAAACTTCGCTGGTGTCTTCTTTGAATAGAAACCAGAAGAAAATGTCGTATAAACATACGTCTTTCGAAGCTTCGTTAAAAAGTTACAACAAAAAATACGAAACACGAAGAGACTAGTATCACGTATTATCGCCGTAACTTTTTAACAAAGCTTCAAACGACCCATGTTTGTATAACATTTTCCCCTCAAATATACCCATAGAACACACCGACGAAGTTTCGTCCGAAAACAATTCGGACACCCGGTATGCACAATGTCAAAAATGTAGCAAACTAGGGCAAACGAAACGATGCACTAACGAGATAAGTTTCGTCGCTCTGTTTCCTGGTCTCGGTCGCCAGCATGCGGGGCTTAATAAAACGGGTGTGTATATAATAATAAGGAGAAGGAATCGGCCGCGAAACGAACCGATGTTTCAATGTTTCCACGAGTGTGTGCCGGCCTGTATGCTAAATACGGGGATGCCCGTACGGATTCGACCGTCACTTTCTCCGTTTCATTAGACCAGCGCCGCGGTGTGTGTGTGTGTGTGTTGGTTCGGATCGATCGT